GTCATGGCTGTCACCGGCCAACGAGTTGGTGTTTTTTCAATGTATACTTCAGACACGGGTCACGACGAGGCATTCCCCATAGCGACCCCTAGAGGACGCAGTGTCTCGTTCCCTACTCAGGGAACCATGGTTACATAAGTAACCTGAGACGTTTATTGCCATCTTACTATGAAATCGCTTGTTTTTCTCAACTGTAAGGCGCTTTGGATAAAAGCATCTGCCAAATGAATAAATGTAAATTTGTACCTTGTCCATACAAGTCAAGTGTGCCAGCTCCAAAAAGTCTATCACATCTCCTTGACAGAGATGCATAATTTGGTATCCATGGTAGGTCTGGTGTTCAGAAACAAGAAAAAGGAGGATCCAAGTGCAGCATAACAGTTTATTATGTCAAGTCACAGCTGACACGGAAAGATTAGACTAAGACTAAAACTAAAAAATTGGAAAAGGAATGGCTCAGTGATGTAGCTATCGTCAGAGGAGACATAAATGCTAAACAAAACTAGAGACTAAACAGAAACACGGAATGGCTCGGTAAAGCAGCTAACACTAGGGGAGTGCTAAATGCAGAACAATACATGGCGATCTGAACAGGAACTGAGAGAGTGTTAAATAGAGTGTGTAATGGCTCTCAGGTAAGCGTGTGATTAGTGACGGCTGTGTGATCAGTGAATTCAGCTGTGTAAGAGCAATGGATGATGGGAACTGTAGTCCAGAGTGACATGTAACAGTCTGTGTAGTGTGAGAGTCAATGTAATGGTAGAATGACCTCTAGTGGCAATCGGCCGGAAGGCCACGGACCAGATTCATGACACCTATAATGTGCTCCCTACCACTCTCACTGTAAGGAAATGCATTTTATTATTGTGAATATATTCTTGTGAATTTGTCAAGCACAGTCTCTTACTTTATAGAGATGGGTTTTAAAAAAAACTGATGGACTCCAGGTATGAACTTCCAGACAAAAATGCTTTTCCCAAACTGCACTGCAACATCTTTATGAAGTGCTGTGGAAATCTAGAAAATTCACACTCACTCACAGACAAAACTATTAGTTCATTTTTTAATGTCATGCTAAATTATTTTTCTTACATTAAGCACGATGAAGTGACAAATGAATTAAAAAAAATACAAGACTGTTTACCCTGAATGGCATGAAATTGCATGTAGAATAATATGAGCTATAACAGCTAGAAATTTCATGTCATTTACATGTTTTAACAAATTATTAACAAGCAGTGACTTGAAAATCAAAATTAATTTACGTTTAACAATTAAATAGGTTTAACAATTAAATGCATGTAAAATAAAAATAAAAAAAGAAGACAAAAGAATACAAAATGCTGAAAAGGGCTGGAGCTACATAAGGTGAATAATGAAAATGATTTATTGACTGTGTGATCATTTGAACTGAAAGGCAATTTTGATAGTAATAATAAACATTATGTAATATTACATTAAAAACTAAATGACTGATTTCAATCAACACAATCCCATGGTCACTCAGCAG